AAGGCTGGCTTGTGAAAAATTTTAAAGTTGTTTGATTTCAATGGTTTAAAGATGTTGTTAGTAGCGATTATATTTATGCTAGTGCTTCATTTAAAAACAAAAAAAAAAAAAGATGTTTTATTAGTTTGTGTCAATAATGAATTATTATGAGTGCCCTCCAAGGTGCTTGCCAAACAACTATCTAAAGTCTTGAGCACGGTCATAGGGGATTGTCAACATACTTTCGTTGGAGAGAGGCAAATCACTGATGCTATATTGACTGCTAACGGAGTTGTTGATGACATGATTAACCATAACAGAGAGGGGTTTCTCTGTAAACTGGACATGGAGAAGGGTTTGATCATGTTTGTTGGCATTTTCTTGACTATATGCTTGACAAACTGGGATTCGGTGGGAGATGAAGTGGATTAGATGGTGTATTTCCATTACTAGTTTCGCAGTTCTTGTAAATGGTGGGCCACCTTTTTTCAACGCGTCTAGGGGCCTGAGACAAGGTGACCCACTCTCCCCTCTTCTGTTTATTATTTTATGGAGGCCTTGAACAGACTTCTGGAGCAAGCTAGAGAGATGAACTTGTTTAAAGGCATTACTATCAGTGACAACTGGTCTCAACTGGAAATCTTCCATTTGTTCTTTGCTGACGACACTCTGATTTTTTGCCAAGCTGAGACCTCTATGTTGCTTAATTTGAGATGTGTCCTGCTCTGCTTTTAAGCTATTTTGAGTTTAAAAATCAATATGCATAAATCTGAGTTTGTGAGAATTGGAGAGGGCAATGATGAGAATTCTCTTGCCCGGGTTTTAGGGTATATTACTGGTCAATTGTCCATCAAATCTCTTGGTCTCCCATTGGGCGCCAAATACAAGGATGGGAGAAGCTGAGAGCTTGTTATCAAGTTATTTGAGAATAGATTAGCTGGTTGGAAGAGGAGATTCCTCTCTAAAGGAGGTTGTTTGACGTTGATTAAAAGCATTCTCTCCAACTTCCTCATTTGCTTTATGTCAATGCTCATCATCCCTTCCAAGGTTGCCAAGAAACTGGAAACCATTCAATGTAGGTTCCTTTGAGGTGAAAGTAGCGATAACAAGAGATACCACCTGATTAAATGGGAGGATGTGAAGTGTCCCATGGAGTTTGGGGCCCTCCGTTTGAGATCACTGATTGACTTGAATAGAGCTTTACTGGGCAAATGATCTGGAGATTTTGGGCCGATGACGACAGCTTGTGGAAGAAGATCATTGAGGCCAAATGGGGTAGGGGAAGCAATGATGGCTTCACTGACAGAAACTGGGAGAACAAGAAGCACACCGTGGGTTTTTGGAAGAGCATTATACAACGTCAAAAGTGTGTTCTTGATTGCACAAAGTGGCAGGTTGGCAAGAGTAATAAAATTCGATTCTGGTATGACATATGGTGCGGCAGTGATTGCTTTGTGTCCAGGTTTCCAAGTCTCAAGAAACTTTCAAGACTGGGAAGTTAGTGAGGATGTTGAACTTCTTCAGCTTCTTGCCACCATCCGCCTCAACAAAAGTCCCAACAAGCTCCTTTGGGACTTAAAGAAGAATGGAAAGTTCTCTGTTAATTCTTTCTTTTATTATTTGGGAGGATATAAGGAGATTGGACCTATAGCTTTTCCAACTAAAATGGTGTGGAAGTCTAAAGTCCTGCTTTGTATTTCTTTTTTTGCTTGGGAAGCGGTTAAGGAACATATTCAGACTATTGACAACTTGATGAAAAGAGGGAAGATCATGGTCAACAGATGCTTTTTGTGTAAGGCAGATAGATTCTGGATGCTGTAATGGCTGCTAATGAATCCGTGGATGACCTTATGGTTTGGGGTAAGGACGGCCTATTGTGTAAATTGGATACAGAGAAAGCATATGACCATGTCAAATGGAACTTTGTGGGTTACATATTTAATAAGTTAGGGTTCGGGTAGAGATGGAAAGGCTGGATGACGCATTGCATATCCATCTCTTCGTTTGCGGTGCTCATCAATGGTGGTCCATCCAAATTCTTTAGTGTATACAGAGGTCTAAGACAGGGTGATCCCCTTTCACCATTATTGTTTATAATTGTCATGGAAGCCCTAAATGGCCTTTTAACCAGGGCTGTTGACCTTCAATTAGTGAGGGGGATCGTGGTGGGTAAAAAAGAATCACGAGATTCAGGTGTCTCACCTATCCTTCGCAGATGATACGCTCATATTTTGCCAACCAGATGTGAGTTGCTTGCTGAATTTGAAATGTGTTCTTCTTTGCTTTCAGACTGTATCCAGTTTAAAAATTAATCTCAATAAGTCTGAATTGGTCAGGATTGGCGGGAATGGGATGGCTAATTTGTTTGCTAGGGTGCTTGGGTACAAAGCGGTTAGGTTCCCCATGAAGTACTTGGGTATACCTTTGGGGGCTAAATATAAAGGCACTACCTTTTGGGAGCCGACTGTGGAATTATTTGAGAGGAAGCTTGTAGGGTGGAAGCGTAACTTCCTTTCAAAGGATGGTAGATATACCTTAATCAAAAGCACTTTGGCCAACCTTCCCATTTATTATCTTTCTATCCTTTCGATACAAGCAAAGGTGGCCAAGAGACTAGAATCAATTCAATGCTGCTTCCTCTGGGGGGATGATGATGGGAAACACAAGTGCCATTTGGTAAAATGGGAGGATATTAAAAGGCCCAATTATTTGGGTGGACTTGGCATTACATTTATGGTGAAAATGAACAATGCTCTCCTTGGGAAATGGTTGTGGAAGTACATGATTGAGGATAATAGGTTGTGGAGGCTCCTTGTGGTGACCCTAATACGATTCTGAGAAGTAGGCTCTCTACCCCACATGACAGAGGATTATGGCAAAAGATCTTATCTCATTGGCCTCAATTTAGCTTTTGCTCACAATGGAAGTCGGGAAAAGGTAGTAAAATCAAATTTTGGACTGATGAGTGGCTGCAGAGTGGTAGTCTCAAAAATTGTTTTCTGAAAATTTTTTCTATTGCCCAATCGAAGAACATGCTCATTGAAGATGCGTATCAACGGTCGAATGAAAATGTAAATTGGGACATAAAGGTTATAAGAAACTTAAATGGTTGGGAAATTAGTGATTATGCGGAGATTCTTAAGGTGTTATCTTCACAACAAATCTCTTCATCTCCTGACAAATTTGTTTGGAAATTAGAGGAGTCTGAAAGATTCTCGGTTAGATCCTACTACAATTTTTTAATGAAGAATACTATGGTGGTTCACCGGAACTTCCCTTACAAACAAATCCGGAAAACGAATATCCCTCTGAGGGTCACTTTCTTTGCGTGGGAAGTTTGTTGGGAGAAGATTCTCATAACTGAGAAACTAAGAGGTAGAGGATAAACTCTTGTGAACCGGTGTTATGTGTGTTTGATGGCTGAGGAGTCTTGTAATCATCTGTTGCTTTGGTGCCCCGTGGCTTGGGACCTATGGTGTGTGATCTATAGGTTTTTACGGATTCATTGGTGATGGCGGGTTCAGTTCATGAGGAAATTTGGGCTTGGGATGGTTATATGTAAAAAGAAACATTGTAAACATTATTCCATTGACTGTTTTATGGGTTATTTGGAAAGAACGGAATTTGAGAACTTTTGAGGGTAGAGTTAGCAGCTCATATAGTATTAGAGATAAATGATTGCATTTTTTTGGGATTATATTGTTAGGTCATGACATTATTAGCGATGTGAATTTTTGAAATGTCATTGATGCCTTAACTCTTTTGTAAATCTTTTGTACATGGGTGGTACCCCCATTTTAGTACTCTGTTAATACAATACTTTACACACTTTATTTTTTTAAAAAAAATGCTTCTTGTGTAAATGCGATGCCAAGTCCAGCAATCACATTATGCTCTGGTGCCCGTTTACTTATCCTTTGAAGCTTAGCATATGGTCTCTTGGGTATTGACTGAGTTATGGTGGGGTTAGTGAGGAATGAGCTGTTGGCTTGGGAGGGATTTGTAAGATATGGGCATGCTTTGACTCATCCCCCTATCCATCATGCGGGTCACATAAAAGGAGAGAACCAATAGGGCTTTCGAAGAAAAGTAAGAACTTGTCAAATTTAGAGATAGATGATTACATTATTTTGGTTCCATGGTTTTGGAACATGACATCTTATAGCATTGAGGATTTTGGGGTCATTATAAGTACTCTCACCGACTTGTAAATCTTTTGTAAATAGACGGCACCTCCTTAGTGCCTTCAGTTAAGATACTCTTCACACTTTTTATCTAAAAAAAATTGTTATGAGAAGAAAGTAGAGGAGGAGATTAGATGAAGAGGAAGAATTGGGCATCCCTTGGTCGGGATATTTGGAAAATATAAGGTCTGTCTTGCCCATAAAATTGATAAAATAATAACTTCTCCATGGATTTGTCATTATCCTAAATTTACATCAGTATACCTACAGTTGAAACTTGGTGCAGTTTTATCAAAAATAGTACTTCATTCTTTTCTAGAAGAAGGTGATGAGGAGACAAAATGGACAAGCAAAGATGAATATTTATTAAAACAATTTGGAGAATACTAGTTCTTTGACCTATCTAACTGGCAAAATGAAATCACGCGTGGCTAACTCCCTGTGTGATTTTCACTATAATATTGAAGTTTGTTATTCAGCATTAATTTCATCAATACCTGCTCTTATAAGTATGAAGACAAAAATTAATACCTTATGATATGATATATTATAATTGAATAAGTATCTTCATATCTTTGATGGATGCAGTAAAATTTCTGTCAAACATTTGACAACTTTTTGCGTATATATAATTCCTCTTTTTGCTAAAAAATAGAGATTTAATCATAATTGTATTATGTATTTGCTCTTTTTGTGATACTTGGTTTCTAGAATTTTTGTATTCTATCCAAGTGCTTGGTTGGAGAGTCATAGAGATTGGTTAATTTTCTTTTAGTATGTAAAATCGTATTTTCATTATTAAGACCTTTCTTCTCTTACCATTAGGTTAAATCAAATGCTGTGAGGGCTCTTGGCAATATCTCCAGGTTTGTCAAATTCACAAGTTCACCTGCTGTGCATAATAATCGTTTCAACTGTACGCGTTCATCTTTGACACTCAACAATGCCGAGTTGCTGCCAGGAAGCAGCTGCAAAGATAGTCTTGTGTGTGGATCAAATTTGTATCATCCAACATCTTTCAGAGATTCACGTTGGCTAGAGAAAATGGTGCAGGCTTTTCTTTCTTGTGTTGCGACTGGTAATGTTAAGGTATCATCTTCCTTGTTAGAGTTTGAAACAATATTTTTACCTAGAGCAGGCTTGAGTGGTTGTATCCATATCATTAATTTTGATGTTAAATTCTTTTATATTCTATTCTTAAGTATAAATCTGCATGTAACAGGTACAGTGGAATGTTTGTCACGCGTTCAGCAACCTGTTTTTAAATGAGACAATAGAGCTGCAAGATATGGACTGGTAATTTCGTACTAATTTCTTCAAGCTTTTGTAGTTAAATTGCTGCATTTCTTTATGTATTTTAGGTCTTATTTTTATCTAAAAAAATCTGGATGCATGCTGCTGGGACCAAAGACAAGCGTATTCTGATAAAATAGGCGTTTGACAAACTGCCATGGGTAGTTGATCATTTTGTCTTGGAGGCTAGATTCCAGAAGATATTCGTTACCCACTTCCCAAATCACAGCTCATATCATCCTTGTTGGTTTGCCACAGCAACTCCTTATTCCAAGACAACCTTTGTGCGAAGGCCTTCTAATCCCCAGTGGTGTCCTCCCAATAGTTCAGCTTTAGAGTAAAAAGAACAGAACAGAAAGTCTATCTAATAACACTCCGAGCTTTTCAAAGTAATTATTAGGCAGGTGCTCTAATGCCTTGTAAAGCCTCCCATGAACTTAATATGTCTGTTTTAAGGCTTATGGTAAGAGTTTTTATTTCCAGCCTGTAATCTGGCATTGAAGCCAGTCCAGTAGGGTTCTACATTCTATAATAGGAACCTTCTGGTTAGAGTTTTAGAATAGGGCTACACATGATATAAGAGCTTGCAGTTATATGGTAGGGACAGAAGCAGAAAATGTCTGTTACAGATCTGCGGGCTTTGTTTCTTGTTTCTTTTCTTCTTGTTTTGATCAAATTGTGATGAAACGAGCCAGTCAAGTGGTTTAATGAAGAATTAGTTAGCGTAGCAGGAACTGTTAGGATTTAGTGATAAGGAGCAGTAGAAATCACTCTATTTGTTATTAAATACGTGTTGTTTGGGTTTACAGCCAAGAATCCTCATTCAGCAGGAGCTTTTACCTGAATATGCTCGTCTGTTAATGAAGCTTTTCCAATTTTACCTACAGAATTGGGGCCCTTTTTTTCTCATGCAGGACAGGAAGATCCTAACGTGGATATATTTCAATAATAAGATATATTTATGTAATTGTAATGTTTATATATTATTAAGGTATTTAGCTTATTTAGGAACCAGTATCTATATGGTATAAGTTTGTTATTTCCTATTTTGTTAGGATCTTATTTAGTTATTTCCTATTATTATTCTTCTAATTAAGTAGCTTGTTTTCCTATTTTATAGATTTTCTAGATTGACTTAAGATTTCCTATCTTGATTGTATCTTGATACATATAAATAAGGGACCCTATCTTAGTTATTCGGTAAAGTATTCACGGTTACAAATGTTAGTTATTGATTTTATTATTAAGATTCAAGAATTCTAATTTTGATTTTTAATGAATTTTCTCTAAGTTTTGCGATCAAACTCTCTCAGTCCTGCATTACTTTTAACCTGTCTTTAGTTTTGTTAATTGTTTAAATAAATCATATTGGGTGAATTTCATCTCTCTTTTGGATTAAACTTTCATCATGTAAACATTATGTTATTTTACATGAGAAATTTGGAAGTGGTCCAAGACATGTGCCTGGTAAGATGTTGGCAATCTTTACTTCTATTTTACCGAATTTCACTAGTATTAATATCTCTAGCTTTATGCTTGTCTTGCAAATAGTTTAGCAAATAATATTTATTTGCTTCATGAGTAGTATTCAATCTCATCTCTTTTATTTAAAGAAGTAATATTATATAGTAAAGGACCAAGAGGATGTCACCCATATATAAAAGATAGAAAAACAAAAATTAAAATGAACGAAAAATACTCTCCATTAAGGAGAGGGTGGCCTGAGGGAAGATTTGAATGCATGCATGAGAGAAAATACTTTAGGCCTCGGGTCTTGTGCATGTGTTTCTGGTTGTTCCAACCTTCTATCATGCCTTTCCTATCATCAAGGAAATTTTTAGCAATAGAAATGAAATCTTTCTGATGTAATTCTAAAAGAGGAAGTTGAAGATGTTTAGGTTTATAGAGAATGATGCTAGGAATTGATTTTCCTTCTACCATTTGAGTCTAGAGATTAGATGGTTGTTTAAGTCCTTTGGTGGGTGTGTTCAGATAAGGTGGCAACAATTCAAGGTAAGAACTTCCAGGAGTGAGGGTAGGGTTCTCTCAATCGGTATGAGACATAACAACAGAGTGATTTTTTTGGAGTTGAGAAAAGAATGACAAGAGGCACCATAAGATTGTCAATTCCTAAAGGAACTTTTCCTAAGGGGGATGGTCTGGTCGAGAATTTCTTGGTAGCCTGCCTAGTGTGCAATCTCAGTTAGAAGAAGGAACAATAACAACTTTGGCTTCTCCATGCTGGTTATATTCTAGAGAGGAGGGCTTAGCTGCCCATTTATTTAAGGAGTTGAAACAGAAATAGCAGGAGAGAGGAAATGTGAGGAAGGTTAGGTGTTTGATTTTGTTTCCTACATGCAACTTCACTTTTGAGGCTTTTTCTGGAGACTGTGGAAGAGATCAATGCATGTTATCCAATCCTGTTCTATCATATGCCTCTTCCCTACAGAAGTCTTTAGATAAGGATACTGTAAAAATTTCAAAATTTTATTGAAGTTGCTATTAAGAGATAGGAACCTTGGCCAAGTCTAGGGTAACAAGCTCAAAACTTCTGATTCAACTTTTAGTGCAAGACGAGGATAAAAGAATTGCTGAATCACAACCTAAGGAAACCCCCTTTGTAAGCTGTAAGAGGCCTTAGGTCTCTATTCCTCCCTGTCCAACAGCTCATCCAATCTAGGATTTGTTTGGCAAGACTGTAGTTTTTGCTATAAGTTGAAAAGTGCTGTTAAAGTATTTTTTCATTAAAAGGACTTCTAGTAAGAAACTGTCATGTGTTTAGTAGAAATAGCTATAGGAAATCTTGTAACCTTAAAAAGCAAAAGTTGTTGTGTCCGATGGAAATAATTGTTGATATTGAAATTATAAAAAAGGTATAAGAAGAGAATATGCCAAAACAGAAGCGGTTGCATTTGGTTAAAATAACTGCCAATAATAAAATAACATAAAATTAAATTTTTATTCATACAGTAACATAGATATATTATATATTATAACTATGTATTTATATATATAATATATCATATATACTTGTATATAAGAGTATACCATATACACACAAATATATATAACATATATACTTAACAAAAAAGTTAACTGAAATAGAGAAATTTAATTTGAATTATTATTTGTGCAGTAATTTTTGTACAATAAAATTAAGAGCATAGACGAAGCGTGGAATGACAATGAAAATGAAAAGAGGCGAGACGGTGGTCAGACGAGCAGACGCAAGGGATGACAAGATCATACATGGGACGAGCATATGAAGGAAGAAAGCATAAGGGCGGTAGGTTGTGTTCTGATCTTGTGGCGTGGGAGGCTTAAGGCTAGTTGTTGGAGGTGGTGCGAGAGGGAGGTGATCTTAGGGCTCAGGCAAAGTGGAATAAAGGAGAAGGGGGCTGATTTTAGGGTTTTGTTTTTGAAGAGACAAAGACGTGATTTTTTTCAATGTTAGTTAAGGGCAACATTGGAAAAAATATTGAAAACATTTTTAGCTTCTATATACAAACCTATCAAAGCAAATTTTAGCTTTGATTTTGGCCAAAAGCACTTTTAATTTTTTTCTTTTGGCTGCAAAGTAACTTGAAAAGACAAGCTGCGGCCAAACATCACTCAAGTTAATTTAGACGCAGCTTCAGCTAGTGAGAACGAACGCCACCTATGATAATGTGAACACAAATTCTTCCAAGTAGGAAACAAGTAGGCTTCAACTTGTCGTCAAGGTACAACCTTTACCTTCTAGTGAACTTCTTCTAATGCCAAGTATAGTTTCAGAAGATAGTCCCCATTTTGGGGATGTTGTGAGAGAAGGAATGAGGTTGTTGAGTGTTAAACATAAGAGGAAGTGATACCCTACATGGGGGAGGAGATACCGCACATAGAGGAAGAAGACTTACATTATCTATTTTGGAGTCTAAAGCTCAACTTGATTATAGAAGTCATTGAACAACAGGTTTATGAATTGTTCATTGCCAGAGAGGCTAGAAGAGGGGCCCTATCCCCTACTAGTGGTGTTGAAGTTAAATCTCGAAAAGGTTCAAGAGAATTAAAAAGACAAGAGCAAGGAAGCAAGGGAGAAAAAAGCATTTCGGGGTGATAGCTCTACTTGATTTCAATTATTAGTAGAATAATTTCTTGAAATGTGGGGGGGCTTGAATGATGCTAGCAAAAGGGCTTTCCTAAGTTTCTTTTTTCTTTTCTCTGAAAAATTGTGGTGGGGATGTTGTTTGTATATAGTGAACCAAATTTGATTATGCATGGTGACGTATTAAATTAAGAGTGTTTTGGGGGACCATGAGTTAGTTGGTTTGATCTACTCTGGCTTCGGGGGCATTGTGATTATGTGGGATGAGAGGGTTAACAAAGGTTCTGTTTCCATAGTTGGAATGTAAAATGTTGGGGAATTTTGTTCCTTTCGGATGGTTTTAATGGGATGGAGGTTGTGGAAAGAAAACTACTTCAGCCTTCAGGGTGATCTCGGGATGCAGAAATATCGATGGCCTGAGATGAAATGGGTAGTTGGCAGTCACTTTGAAATGGTTTAGAATAGGAATAAAAGCTCTGGGAAGATACCATTCTGCTACTTGTGCTAGGGAATTCAGGGAGTTTGTGAATAGCTTAAAGCTCGTGGATTTGCCTTTATGTGGGGGGTACTTGCACCTGGTCTAGCATGAGAGAGAATACCTGTTTCTCTTGCAGTAATAGGTTTTTGGTGTCTCTAGGGTTTGAAGAAAGGATACATAGCTTAACTCGGAAACTTTTGCTCTAGGTTATATCTAACAACATTTGATATGTCTTGATCTAAAAGGTATTAAATGGGGTTTGGTTCCACTTTAGGTGTGATAACAAGTGGTTAAAATGCAAGGAGTTCTGGAGTTCTTGAAAGGCTGCTGGAATGAGATGAATCCTTGGATCATGCGTGTTTTTGTGTTGCAAAAAAGCTTTCCTGTGTCAGATCAAGAGTTAATTCTTTAGTTCCACCTTTTTTGACAACCGGGCTGCAG